TGTCAATATGGGGTGCTGTGTGTACATTAATGAGGAAAAAAAATTAACTTAAATGATTTTAGCAAATGGCTGCAATATAACAAAGAGTGAAAAATTTAAGGGGGTCTGAATACTTTCCGTACCCACTGTATCTCATATGGTCAACGGTAGCGCAAATGTGAGTGCATTGAACTTGCGCACATGTTTGAGCTTCTGAAAAAAAAAAACATGAATATTAATCTGAATATAAATCATATGGATTAAATGTATGTCCTTCAATGAATGGACAGAAATTATGAGAGAAAATTAAAAATATATATATATTTTTTAAAGATGAATGAAAGTCTTACTGTGTTTGAAACAACATGAGGAAGAGTAAATTATGACAGAAATTTCAAGTCTGGTTGTTTTCTTCAATATTTCTTTTTTTCTTTTTTTTCGTTATCCATGTTATGTTGTTTTCTGTGAAAACTTACCGCTATCTATATTAATGTGTCCATGGCAACCATAGAATTTTACAACGGTAAAACATGGGTTGCTGGTTTCCCTTTCCTAAGAGAAATGTTTAAGGGATTATATGCAACACCCTTAAGTCATTCCCATAGGTATGGGAAAATCAAGCAACAAGTGCAATACTTAAGGGAAAACTTAAGGTGCTTTATGCAACCGGGCACTGGAGGACAAGCTGCTTACTGCCAATAGTCTGTTACCGCCTCAATAGCAGGCAAATATTTCAAATCAGTACAAAAATCACTCCTCTTTATAACATAAGGATGACGTCCAACACATGTTGTGCTTTTTTTTTTTTTGTAATAGTGTTTAAACAAGTACAGTAAAGATTTTCATCCATCTAGTCCATTCTGCTTTTCACTTCCTGCCTTCCATCTGCATTTTGCGCGTCATCAAAATCACGTGACTGCAAACAAGCTATACCATAAAAACAAAGCGAGTAATCATTTTTATTAAATAAAAATAAATAAATAAAATCCTTAGCACACTTTTTACAAATCGATCAAATCCAGCATATACAAGTCATATCCACATCCATTATTTCACACTGAATATTCTTTCACTAAGAAATGCTATACTACAAAAATTAAATGTATTTTATGTTAGCCTTTATGCACATTAAAAATATTTAACTTTTATTTGTATTTAAAAAAAAGTCAAAATCAAAAATTCTCCTTAAAACCTTACTACCTGACACTGGGTTGAATTACACAATGTTTGATGGTTCTCTCACCGATAGCCAGATGCCAGTGATCTTTAAGAATGATTTGGAGATTCCTTAACACCAGCTGGATGACGTAGAGAGAAAAAGACCATCCGCCCATCAGCAGCACATAAAATGGGCTTTTCTACAGGCCAAGGAAACAAACATGTTGAAAATAAGACCGTTTAATAAAATCTCATTATTAATTGGTAAAAAAAAAAGCCGAACAAAATCCTGAGATGCTCAATGGTAGAGACTAGAGAGAAAGATGTTTAAAACACATTAAAGAATGTCAGGAATCTACCTTGGGTAGAAAACGGCCAATGACGAAGATGAGGATGATGAGAGAGGCAATCATTCCAGTGCTCATGCCAGCAGAGTAGTAGAACACTTGACTTCTACAAGACAGATCAAGCACTGAGAGTTACAAACACTACGTCAAACTAACAACCCAAATTGTTACTCCATCCAAGAAAAGGAAGAGCAGAGTTGGCTAAAATTTTTGATTAAAGGAATAGCTCACTCAAATAATCATTTGTAATCATTTTACTCACTAGAGTAAGTGAATCTTCAGCAAATTTTCATTTTTGGGTTAACTATTCTGTATATAAACAGATAGTTTCAATTACCTGCTCAGAGAATCTGCAAAAAAGAACAGCAACAGTCCAGCCAGAAAAACCAAAAATAAGTAGACGTCAAAATCTATAAGAGAAAAACCAATGTCAATCTCAAAATCAATATCAGTCCCGATCATATCAGAGCATGAAGACTGGAATGGGTTTTCCGTTCCATTTGAATTTTCTTTCTTTTAAATATGTTTTCAACTCACGTCGACTAGGTTGTACTGCATAGAGTGTACGGGAATCTGAAGGGTCCACTCTAAAACAGGTTTTGTTGTTAAAGAGACTGACGCTCACGGTGGCCTCATTGGTCTGTTCACGAACGAAGTACTGCACAAGTTTCCAGATGCTGAAATGCTCAAGCTCCTGCAGGTCCTGCTCATCATTAACCACCGTCACCTTCAGCTTTGCAGTGCTCCACACTCTCACCTGTTGATCAAATAAGAGGAAGGTGCTGTCAATATTGATGCAAACATTACTGGCGACATAAACAAGAGTCATAGTTAAAAGTCCTCTACCTGTATTCTAGTCCATGTTTCCCTCCATCCAGGTACGATGGAGTTATTGTAGCAAAAATGTTGTGCGGCTTGTACTTTGATTTCTTGTCCATCTTTAACTTCTATAATGGGACGGGTGGCACCTGCATGAAGATGAAAATGACAGAGTCATACTTTGTGTGAATCTATCTATACTAGTTCTATTTGGATTTTTTTACTTTTTCTTTTAAACATGTTTTCAACTCACGTCGACTAGGTTGTACTGTATAGAGTGTACGGGAATTTGAAGGGTCCACTCTGAAACAGGTCTTGTTGTTAAAGAGACTGACGCTCACAAAGGTCTCATTGGTCTGTTCACGAACGAAGTACTGCACGAGTTTCCAGATGCTGAAATGCTCAAGCTCCTGCAGGTCCTGCTCATCATTAACCACCGTCACCTTCAGCTTTGCAGTGCTCCACACTCTCACCTGTTGATCAAATAAGAGGAAGGTGCTGTCAATATTGATGCAAACATTACTGGCGACATAAACAAGAGTCATAGTTAAAAGTCCTCTACCTGTATTCTAGTCCATGTTTCCCTCCATCCAGGTACGATGGAGTTATTGTAGCAAAAATGTTGTGCGGCTTGTACTTTGATTTCTTGTCCATCTTTAACTTCTATAATGGGACGGGTGGCACCTGCATGAAGATGAAAATGACAGAGTCATACTTTGTGTGAATCTATCTATACTAGTCAACATTTGAAGTGGATCAAAACCTTTCATCAAAGTTGTCCTAAAACCAAAATGTGTTCTCATCTTAGGACAACTGATGAACTTTTTTGATCCACTTCAAATGTTGACTACTGTGTATATATGCATACAGTAGTCAACATTTGAAGTGGATCAAAAAAGTTAATCAGTTGTCCTAAAACAAGAACACATTTTGGATACACAGGTGCATCTCAAAAAAATTGAATATAACTTATTTCAAAAAGTTAAACTTTCATATATTCTAGATTCATTACAAGTAAAGTAAAACATTTCTAAAGTTTTTTTGTTTTAATTTTGATTAGAGCTTACAGCTCATGAAAGTAAAAAATCTAGTATCTCAAAATATTAGAATATTTACATTTGAGTTTCATTAAATGACCATCCCTACAGAATAAATCAAGTCCAAAGTCAATGCACCCATCTACCAGGAGATTTTGGAGCACTTTATCCTTTCATCTGCTGACAAGCTTTATGGAGATGCTGCCTAGTGGTTTGCTGACCATGATATTACTGTGCTTGATTGGCCAGCCAACATGCCTGACCTGAACCCCATATGGAATCTATGTGATATTTTCAAGAGAAAGATGAGAAAGAAGCCGATCCAACAATCCAGACGAGCTGAAGGCTCAATAGTGCCTCAGCAGTGCCACAGGCTGATCGCTTCCATGCCACACCTCACTGATGCTGGAGTTTGTGCTAAAGGAGCCCTGACCAAGTATTGAGTGCATAAATGAACATACTTTAAAGAACTTTAACTTTTCTGTTTTGCAAATCCTTTTTTTTTTTTGATTGATCTTAGGGAATATTCTAATATTTTGATACTGGATTTTTGACTTTCATGAAAAGCAATATATATCAAAACATAACATATTAAACCATAACTATTGCTTACCTGACGTTTGAGACAAATGAAATAAAAACAACACAGCAGTCAAGATAACTTTCAATATGACAGTTTCGATTCCAAAGCCACTTTCGGATTTCATTAATCCCGCCATGATGTCTTCTCGCGTTTCTTCGATGGTCGGAGTGACGTTACCGACGAGACTTGAGTGCTGAACAGCGTCACCTGCTGCACTGGAAGAAACAGTGCATCTGTCTGCGAACATCACACGGTTGTTTGTCTCAACAGCAAAATCAAAAAGGATCTTATAAAACTCTGCATTTGTTAAACTTCTGTTTCTATTCAAATTGGGATATATGTTAAAATGTTTTTGATGTGATATTTTACAGTTATAATGTATAAGGCAATCTATAAAACAGATATAATCTATAGTTCTTAATAATTTATATTCGGTATATATGCATAAAAATAGCACTTTGCAAATAAAATTTCTTGTTTTAATAAAAAAAAACAGTCCCACTCAGAATTTTCATTTATTAAAGTTTTTCCATCACATTTCTTATAATTCATTTTAAACAGGTGTTACAAGCATGACAGAATACTCCGCTTCACTAACCCTATTAAACAAGTCACGGCACAGCCATTTCTCTGCCCTGTGACAGACTGTCTTTTCCTGTTGTGGTTTCTCATAATCCCATCCTTTGTCTTTAAGGCTCTTGCCCCAATTGCCATTTGAAAACACTTACTTCCCTCTCTTCTTCTTCTTCTTCTTTGAGTTTATTGGCGGTTCGCATTCTTAAAAGAGCATTACCGCCATCTACTGTGGTAATGGATCAGAGACACTATATCCCTACTCCCCAGACCATTCAGGACTCGTGCTACTTCCCTCTCTAAGAGCATGCAGCTTCCTTATGTCAAGCAAAAAAAAATCTTTTGTCCATGAAATTGACTAAATCAAATAAAACATTTCAGAGGGCATTTAATTCACTTTACAGAGCATAAACATACCTATCTCTTCCACTGCTCCGGGTGTGTGTTCACGGTGTGTGTGTGTGTGTGTGTGTTCACTGCTGTGTGTGTGCACTTAGGATGGGTTAAATGCAGAGCACTAATTCCTAGTATGGGTAACCATACTTGGCCACATGTCACGTCACTTTCACTTTCACTTCCAGTAAAGAGTCTAAATCACTTTCACCTTTGTCATCATTACATCTATGCAGCATGAATTCAGGTGACCATATCACTTGCAACTTGCTGAAGAGTGAAAGAGAAAAATTGCAGGCTATGCATGAAATAATTACAGTATCAACACTATCAGTAGCCTATAGTTCTATAATACAAAAATATTTCATTACTTCAGTACAGAAATTCATATTCTTTCAATCAAAGCAAAATATATACAGATAGATCTGAGAGTAAAAAGAGATCCATGCCTTTCTTATAGCTGTAAATCACTAATGCAAGATGAAAACTCCACTTTAACACAAATTCAAAGAGAAGATATTTACAACAATTGAACAATTTACAGCATGACAGGTAAAGCTGCCCAGGGCAGATGTATTGTCCATTTTTAATAAGCATCTGGACATGCAGCATTAAATGGTCCATAAAGGTACAAATAAAGTACAAATGCTGGTCACAGATTGTCTCAACCCCAGGCTCCTCCCGGATGGAAATCTGGGACAACTGAAGCAGCAGCAGAAAGAGGAGTGGAATATCCCACAGTGAAGTTCTGCAGACCCAACATCAGACATTTCCAACTGTAGCGAAGAGCCTTTCCTACGTTCTGTAAAGCAAACAGAATGCTAAAAATTAAACACATACTGAATATATAACAAATGTATTGCCCTAAAGGATTTGTTGAAATTTGCTGAAAACCCATCCAAGATAGCTGATGATTGTTTCTTCATCGGAACAGATTATGAGAAATTACATCACTTGCTCACCAATGGATCCTCTGCAGTGAATGGGTGCCGTCAGAATGAGCGTTTGTAAGAAACAAATCTAGCAAGGCATTTTAACTATCACTTCTGGCCAAAACGTTCCTAAAACCGTCACTTCATCCAGTGAAAAAGTCCATCCCCTGTTGTCCTCTCACATCAAAATCCACAGACATTTGTTAAGAGCTGTTTTGGACTGTTTTCGCCTGTAAATTTTCCTTGATTTGCGCATAGTTATCTCCTGATTCAGATGAGGTGATTTTTTTTCACTGGAGAAAGCAATATTTTGGATAGCGGACTGGAGTCGTGTGGATAACTTGTGGATTATCGTGATGTTTTTATCAGCTGTTTGAACTCTCATTCTGACGGCACCCATTCACTGCAGAGGATCCATTGATGAGCAAGTTATGTAATGCTAAATTTGTCCAAATCTGTTCCAAAGAAGAAACAATCTCTTCTTAAGATGGCCTTAGGCTGAGTAAATTTGAGCAAATTTAAATTTTTGGGTGAACTATTAGTAGCTTTGTTTTTGTTTTTTATTACAGAAATGCATTTTACATGACATCCAAAATTGTATTAAATTTAAATTAAATAATCAAATTAAATGGAATTAATAGAGAAAGTATTGCATGACACAATAATTTGACTTATTGATTAAAAGAACCTTTAAAAGGACAAATGCTTGTTATATAAAAATGATCTGGTCCCCTTTTATATATTTTTATTTTTATTATACTCTCCACTCTTACTATTGGATAGCACTGTTGGGTTGTGTTCTGGGGGTTTGGGGTAGGAAAAATCTCTTGGTTTGTATTTTCCTTGTTCGTTTGGTGCTTTTTTTAATTTCCAATTTTTATTCAGGTTGGTTAATACTGTATTTCATTGTTTAATTCTTTATTATTTACAATTATGTTTTGTTTTTAGATAAATAACTTAAAAAGTTGAATTATTAGAAAAATAATAATTACACAAAATTATTTGGCTATTAGGGAACATTTGCTTTTCCACAGTGCTTAGGCATTTGGTAAACCTGAGCAGCAAATCAAAATAATTTAAACAACTCACAAGGAGTTAACTGATGGAATGTAGTTGTGTGGATTATTGCGTGATTTTTTTATCAGCTGTTTGAACTTTCATTCTGACGGCACCCATTCACTGCAGAGGATCCATTGATGAGCAAGTTATGTAATGCTAAATTTGTCCAAATCTGTTCCAAAGAAGAAACAATCTCTTCTTAAGATGGCCTTAGGCTGAGTAAATTTGAGCAAATTTAAATTTTTGGGTGAACTATTAGTAGCTTTGTTTTTGTTTGTTTATTACAGAAATGCATTTTACATGACATCCAAAATTGTATTAAATTTAAATTAAATAATCAAATTAAATGGAATTAATAGAGAAAGTATTGCATGACACAATAATTTGACTTATTGATTAAAAGAACCTTTAAAAGGACAAATGCTTGTTATATAAAAATGATCTGGTCCCCTTTTATATATTTTTATTTTTATTATACTCTCCACTCTTACTATTGGATAGCACTGTTGGGTTGTGTTCTGGGGGTTTGGGGTAGGAAAAATCTCTTGGTTTGTATTTTCCTTGTTCGTTTGGTGCTTTTTTTAATTTCCAATTTTTATTCAGGTTGGTTAATACTGTATTTCATTGTTTAATTCTTTATTATTTACAATTATGTTTTGTTTTTAGATAAATAACTTAAAAAGTTGAATTATTAGAAAAATAATAATTACACAAAATTATTTGGCTATTAGGGAACATTTGCTTTTCCACAGTGCTTAGGCATTTGGTAAACCTGAGCAGCAAATCAAAATAATTTAAACAACTGGATTGAAACACAATACAGTTCCTTTGGGAAAAAAAACTATTTCTGGACTGAGGAAAAACAGCTTCATTCACAGATCCAGGAGGTTCAGCCTGTGCCAGCAGCAATACAGAATTAAGACTTTGAGTGGTTTAAATACCTAAAGGATTTCCAAGTAGACAATTTAGCTGGATTAAACACTAGGCTTTATCATTTTAAACTGTAAATAGCATGTCGTTTAGTGGCTTTATGTTAGTGACTGTCTCTCTGTGTGACAACAGGTCAGAAACAGGATGCACTGCTTTATCCTGTGGGAGGAAATTTCTGCTGCTTGACAATGGAACACTGCATGTGATCTGAATGACACTTCCTCCAAAATAAAAAAAAATAATTTCTGACTACGTAGGCCTAGTTGAATTTCAGGTCGACTAGAAAAGGTCTCCATATGGCCAAAAACACATGAACTAAATTCACTGAATGTAATGTAATCTACATTCAATACATGTGTTTTATGCTTTGCAAACATAAAAAGCTGCTTTTCTGTAATGGTTTAAAATGTTTTGAGTCTCAAACATAATAATTAAACTATTAACTATAAACTAAAAACTATTATAGTATTACTATTTATGGTTGTGGCCAGTGAAATTCCAAGAACAAAGTGGGCCAGCAATATAAAATTCTTATTGTTGAGCCCTCTATTTTACTTTGCATTATTGAAAAAGCTGGTCATTAGCCCCAAACTTGATCAAGTTACTTGTGAATGCTTTGGGAAAAAAACAGTGATGCTATAGATATTAAGTGGATTACAGTGAGATGTGTTTACTAAAGATACTCCATTTACTCACAGTCTCATCAGTTTTAATTGGCTAAGTCTGATAAGGAAACAGTCTGACGCCAGACAGGTTACCCGTTGATCTTTGACCCAGTCTAACACTGGGTCAGCAAATTCACAGAAAAAGTCATGTGCTTGTTCAGAAAATAACAATTTATATGGTTATTATATTCAAAGCATCAACTGAAGTGGGGACTGTGTATGATTTCATAATCAAAATTTCCTGGTTATTGCAAAAACATTTTGTTTTTGAAAGCATCTTTTCATTACTGAAAAACACATGACAGTTTTTTGTTCTATAATGTCACCCTTTCACTTATAAACAGGATACTACTATTCTGAAACTCAGTGGTAAGGCTGGAAAGATTTGAAATCAGGAAAACACTATTTTGACAAATCTGAATAATTATTCTATATGCTCAAATTTGTGCAACAGAAAATCAACATCAACACCTGCAAATAAAATTAATCAGAAGTGAATAGTTGATATCGGAGCCACAAGAATTACAAACCACAACCAATTTACCAATACCACTGGAACAGTTACTTGTCACTGTCGGAATGCAAACTATACTAGCCAATAATAAGTAGGCCTACTAGTAATGAACAAGTAAGCCTGCTTGGGATTGTCTGTATCCCAATAGTAAAACTAGTAGTAGTAGTGAATAAATGCTAATGGAAAGTTACCAGTGAAAATGAAAAACAAAAATCACTGCTAGATAACCTATAACATGAAAATACATACTAGTTAGTCTAAATTAATAAAAGTTAGTTTAACAAAGGCCTGTAGGCTATTTATTATTTTGGAGCAGGCAAAAAAATAAAAAATAAAAAAAAGAGCTACGTACGTTACTGTTTAGAAGTTTAGGGTCAGTAAGATATTTATTTTAAAGAAATTAATACCTTTATTAATCAAGCACTCATTAAACTGATCAAAATAAATGTAGTTGTTAGAAACTGGAACGGTTTCTACAAAAATATTTAGAAAGACAACTATTTTTAACATTGATAATAATACATTTTGAGCACCAAATCAGCATATTGAAATGTTTTCTGAAAATTTTGCTTTGCCATAACAGGAAGAAAACAGTCATTTTAAATTATAATTATAATAATGCTTCAAAATATTATTGGTTTCACTGTGTTTTTATAAAAAAAAATGCAGCCTTGGTGAGCATAAGAGACTTGTTTTAAAAACATTTTCAAAATCTTACCGAGCCTTTTGAAAGCTTAGTGTTCATAAAAAGCAACATAAAGAAAAAAAAAGTGAAATATTTATTCCACAAGGCATAATATTCAACTTACCTTTCTGTATTTTTTATACTTTTCTTTCTTTTTTGCTTTCTTTTCCTCCTTTAGTTTGTGTTGGCTGTCGTCTTCCACTAAAGGCTCGTATGGAGATCTCTCTGGCAGTAAAGTGAAGTGCAGATCTCTGGGTTTCTCTCTCTGGTTCTGCTCCGGTGCGCCGGTATCGACCTGTCGCCTGTATCTGTCGTCCTCAAAGAGGCCAAGCCGGGGGACACAGAGAGACTTGGGCTTCATGGTCTTCACCAGGAGCGTGTTGTTTGTGCACTCTGATCAAGCTCTGGACTGTATACACACATCCTCTTGGAGCAGCTCCGCAGTGATTGGGTTTGGCTAGACTCCAGCTCTTATTGGACTCCTACATCATCAGGTTCACACCAGGTGGGCGTCTGCAAACTCTTGTTGACAGTCCGGGGTCAGTGAAGTATATTCAAATCTAATTTAATTTCCATTCTACTGAATTCACTATTGAACTAATTAATGGGCCTGCTATATAGGGGACTGTTAAAGGTAACATAGCCTATTGTGTGTGGGGTGGAAATCATTGATTAAATCAATCGATTGATTTAGATTAATACAGCATGATGGCACTTTCTACAAAATAGAGACTGAAATTCTTTAAAAAAAAAAGTGGTCAGTGAAGGAAATTGTTTAGAAATTATAGACCATCAACTTCAGAAGGTCACACTAAATTTTATATGAGCTATTTTATGGTCTAAAATCTGTTTAAAACCCTGATTTGTGTGACTTAGCAGTTCACATCAAAATTAAGCTATTAAAGAAAATATTAAAACAAACAAACAATAAATAGGCTAAATAAATAAATGATTGTAAATTTAGCATATGGACCGCAAAATTAGTTTGGTGAGCCCATTTCCCTTTCTTAAAATAACTTAACATGCTATTAATTTTTATTAAATTAAATTAGGTGAGGGGACTCTAAAGTACCATATTTGTTGAATGTGTACTTTTTAAATTAATTTAATCTGTTATATTTTTTAAATCACTAACACAAGCAAAATGTTATTTTCCTACAAATAACATAAAACGTTACATCAACTTTGATAAAGAATATCTCTTTGGATTTGAGACTTTAGTCTTTGCAACTTTACAGATCTTCTTTATGCACCAAGAGCTTGTAACACTCCAAAGAGAAAGGAAAATTTTTAATCGCATCATATGACCTATTTAAACGAATTAAATTATGACTGAAATGCCGCATGCATCTGTTTTTGTAAACGTTTTGAAAACATTTTGAAAGAACAGACCAACATGTGCAAAAACCTGAACCATAATAAGAGCTAAGCGCAGACCCGCCCCTTTGTGACCACGTGATCATTGAGTGTCTGGAGCGAAATCACTGAAGCGAAAGTAGAATGAGCGAGACATTTGGACATATATACTCGGCTTGTTCGTAAGTACACATTTAGTTTCTTAAATAACTGGGATAAAAGGTTTTGTGCTTGACATAAAATCATTATACGAATAGGTGAATTGAACTTTAACGTTTAAAAGGTATATTTCAATTTTACAGTCGATGATGGTTGGGAGTTATAGCCTAAACTAAACCGTCATTACATTGACTGTTAACTGAATGCTTTTTAATTACCAATACTTTATTATTTTCATTTTCGATTTTTAGTAGTGTTTTAGTAGTACTGGATGTTCCGTTTTAAACGTTGTCATTAGTTTCTGGTAGCATATAATTATCTGTCTTTTACTCACAAAACTGAATGAAATACTAGATTACATTTATTAACGTTACTTGCGTAGAATGCTTGATATTAGAAGGCAAACGTTCTTTAATTAGATTACACCCACTTTAGACTGACAATGACAACAGAGGTGGCAATAAAAATGTCAAATTCTTTAACTGGGTGTGTTAGTTACAAACTATGTGTTTACTGTTGTCGTCATTTTTAGCATAATTACACAATGGCGTATTTCAAAGCAAAACTCACCTACATAACACATCAATCCAAAATGTAGTTACTGATTTGGCAACCAGTTTTGTTACTGTTATTCTATGAGTAGTTCAAGATATAGATGTATGATGCAAGTACTACTGGTGATGATTTTTTAGCATGTGATGTTCTCAAAATCACATGGCATTAAGTGTACATGGATATACAGTCATGCTTATCTGCTTATATATACAGTATACATTTATATATATATATAATATATATATATGCTGGAGAGCTAACAATCACAGCACTTATCACAGCCTCACCAGTGTGTGGTCACTCATAAAATGGTGTACAAAATTAAACCACAGAAAAAGTGTTTCAAACAAAAACCCACATGAATGTACGAAACTGGTTAACTTCTCCAACTTAACTTAGTGGTTCCTCATTCCTTTGCTGTATTTTGTAAATTGCAACATTGATGTTGAAATTACACACCATTTATAGATTAAGAGAAAGTCCTCCACACGCCAGTATACTTTATGTCATACATTCTTTTGAAGATACTTGGATACATACTTAGATTTGATAAGAATCTCTTACTGAAAGTTCAAGTGGATTATTAATAAGTATTGTACCTTTAACATTCTGTGTTTTTTCTTATCTTTTTCCTGTCTCTTTTGTTCACATTTTGAAATTTCATGTTTCTAGTCCATGTCATGTGTTTGTTCATTAATCACTCCTTCACTGTGTCCAGACATGTCTTGTTTAATCATTGGTTCTTGTGTATTTATAATTCCTAGATTTTTCCTGTCCTTTATCATTTATTTTATAACACTCTCTGAATCATCTTGTTTTCATTTTTGGACCATTTTCCTAGAAAAATAAAAAAGCTGTTGAAACCTTGGACATTAAGTTTAACTTAAGAAAAAGGTCAACTGCATTTTAATGAATCTGCCAGATTTAAGCACTCCATGGTGAGAAAAGTGTGGAAATATGTATTTTACATTATTTATGAGATAAATGAGTTAGCAAATGTATTTCTAAACATTTTTTGTCTCTCATTCAAGGACAGTCTCTCAAAAACAGCACAGCCATGCTTCTTTAAAAAGTGCTAATTCTATGCTGGATCCAATTGATTTGAAAAGAGAACCTCTTTATTCAGTACAAAGGTATGTAACATCTGCTTAGTCATACTGAACATTTGAAAGTAAAACATAATTTAAAAGGACTTTTCATGTTCACATGCTGCGTGCAGTGCATAAATACAGCCTACCTATATTTTTTCTGAAGGTTTGATAAGCAGAGAAAGCTGAATGATGTGTCGAACAAAAGCCAGGCATCAATGACTGAACCAATTTCTTTCAATTTTGAAGACTTTGCCACTGAGCAACAGTAAGATATTTATACAAACTGTGTCCCTTTATGTCTCGTAATTTACACTTCCTATTCCTGTGATGGCAACGCTGAATTTTAAGTATCCATTGCTCCAGTCTTCAGTGCCAGTTTTTACTGCCTTTACTGATCCATTTAAAGCAGCCTTTCAGAATAAAGTTATTAATTTATCTGACCCCAAATTTTTGGACAGCAGTGTATTCTGCATCAGAGTCCAGTCATACACTTTCATTGTCAATGTATTTTCACAGGTCTCACAAGAACAATATTCCTGAATTAACAGTCCATTCCAATTCAGCCATGAAGTGCCAACAAGAATATAAATCAAGACTGAAAGCCAAATTTCAGTGCATTCGCAATGACATGTCCAAACAATCACATCCCACGTTCCTGAACGACATCTTCACAGAGCTTTTCATCACTGAAGGGGAAAGTGAGAATGTCAACAAAGAACACGAGGTGAGACAGATTGAGACCAAGTTGAGGAGAAAAAACACAGTGGACATTCCAGTCAAATGCAATGACATTTTTAAACACTCATCTGAAGAAAACAGACCCATCAAATGTGTGCTGACTAAGGGTGTTGCAGGCATTGGGAAAACTGTTTCAGTGCAGAAATTCATACTGGATTGGGCTGAGGCCAGCGCTAATCAGGATATCAACTATGTGTATCCGCTTCCATTCCGAGAGCTGAACCTGATGAAAGGGAAACATTTGAGCTTGATTGAGCTTCTCCAACACTTCAGAATGGAAACAGGCTCTGGAGATAATCACGAAAACCAAAAAGTTCTCTTTATCTTTGACGGTCTGGATGAATGCCGCTTTCCTTTGGATTTCCAGAATAACGGAAAGTTGAGTAACCCAACTCTGCCAGCTTCTATTGACGTTTTGCTAACCAATCTCATCAGTAACAATCTGCTTCCTGATGCCCTCATTTGGATAACATCTCGACCAGCAGCAGCCAGTCAGATCCCTTTTGAGTATATCGACCTGGTGACTGAAGTTCGAGGGTTTAATGACCCACAAAAGGAGGAATACCTCAACAAGAGAATCAATGATAAACACCTCTCTGGTCGTATCATCACGCACTTAAAGTCATCAAGAAGTCTGTACATCATGTGTCATATACCAGTCTTCTGTTGGCTCTCCGTTACGGTGCTAGAGAGAATGTTCAACACAGCAGAAGATGAAGAAATCCCCAAGACTCTTACTCAAATGTACACACACTTCCTTCTCATCCAATCCCATGCGAAAAACATGAGATACACAAAAGAGCACAACCCAGGCCCGGAGGATGAAGAAATTATTTTAAAGCTAGGTAAGCTAGCCTTCCAACAACTGAAAAATGGCAATCTGATATTCTATGAGGAAGACCTGATGGCCTGTGGGATTGATGTGAAGGAGGCAGTGGTGTACTCAGGAGTTTGCTCACAGATCTTCAGAGAGGAATCTGCATTAACCGAGAACAAAGTCTACTGCTTCATCCATCTGAGCATTCAGGAGTTTTTGGCAGCCATGTATGTGTATTACATGTTTAAGGTCCACCACAGCAATGTTCTTGATCATGAAGAGCATCAAGAGCTTACCGAGACCACCTTCTTTGAATTGCATAAGAGTGCCATTGACGAGGCTCTAAAGAGCGAGAATGGACATCTGGATCTTTTTCTCCGCTTCCTTCTGGGACTTTCCTTGGAGTCCAATCAGAGCCTTTTACAAGGCTTGCTTTCTCAGTCTGGTAGCACAGACTGTCAAAGCATTGTGGAAACCGTTGAATATATCAAGAAAATGATAGAGGAGACGTCCGTGCCAGAAAAGTCCATAAATCTCTTCTACTGTCTCAATGAACTCAATGATCTCTCTTTGGTCAAGGAGGTCCAGAGGTTCCTGAACTCAGGGCATTTTTCTAAACTTTCCCCTGCACAGTGGTCTGCTTTGGTTTTTGTGTTACTGACATCAGAAGAGAAGCTGGATGTGTTTGACCTGAAGAAGTATATCAGATCGGAT